AAAGCCATCAAGAACACTCTTATGCCAAGGTCACAGTCACATCAAATGTTACGCAGCAGTATGGACCAATTAATTTCCTGTGATTTCAAAAGGCACACAAGTGTAAATGCAACCTCTTGTAACTCTACATACTCTGAGCCGGTCGAATGATTCAGGTGTGTTTTAAGGAACGTCAGTCACTTTACTAAAATTAACTGACATCTACGTCAGTTACTGGAAACACTGCACTTGATTCCCACCATTACTTAAGAGAAAAACCCACTGTAGACACGAACAGCGGGTGATAAACCTGCTTCAACTTGTTAACTTAAAAGATCCGATGTGCAGAACAGGTTCAGCCTGTGAAACTTAGCTTTCTTGTATTTTACTGACAGTTGGAGAAAAAAGACAGCCGTGTAGCTATTGTGTCATGCAACTTGAGCGATAAATTACACATGGTTCATTCAGAGGTAATACAAGGATTACGAATACAAAACAAATCTGACCTAGTTCCATATACCAAATAGAGGATCTCAAAAAAAATCAGAGACACACAATAGATAGGTGGCTGATATTATTCAACAATAACTAGGAAAATAAAATTATAGATACTGATAAATCTATGCAGCTGACAACAAACCATTTTCATTTGTAAAGGTGCATTTGCTTGCGTCATTGTTTTGTTCTGTGAAGTGCATGTTAGCCTCAACCAGACAACGTAATATTCAAGTTAGCTTATGCTTCTATGCGTTTAAGTATCCAGTAGGGCTGTGCGATATGACGATATATATCGGATGGACGATATAAAAAGCCTATCGTTTCATATTATGCCATATCGTTTATATCGTGGTGTCGCAAAAAAACATTGTTTACGGCAAAAATTTGGATGACTGCAATCTTTCACGCCACCATGGGGATGCAGGCAGAAACGTGAATAACAGCATGAATGAAGGGGTGACAGAACCGGGTGTTTCCGAGCAGGAGAAGAACCAGCCAGAACAAACCGAGGAGCTCGTTCCTAAACGAGGGGCTAGATGGTTTGGTTAACTTTCTATTTGTTGTATTGACCATTTTAGGGTGGTTTGGATAAATAAACGCCAGTCTCAAATAGAGGCCTGGTCTGTTTTTTAGTTTCGGTTTGTATTTAATCTTCTAAAACCCGTCAGATCGTCTGTTTAAACCAGTTCTGTGGTGCAGATTGCGCGCATCTGGGCGGAGTTGTTAGCGCAAGCAGAGTTAGCGGAGGCCGGAGAGAGAAGGAGATAGTTTTACAGGGTATAGCCTTCATTCTTTCTTGTTGATGTGTTTCGGGCAACAAGTTCATAGGCTCGATGGATATTACCAGTAATGTATTGTTCAGCCCATGGCTGTCACATCGTTTCGTTTTTTTTAATTCTGCCAATAATCTAAAAGCTATGGTTATATTAAATGTACAATTATCGTTATATACTGACTTCACCCTGTGCTGCAACATACATTTAGTTGTACATTCATTTACAGAAATCAGCTGGTTGAATTCAAATTGATGCTGTTATTATCGGATTTTCAGGTGATATTCCCAATTCATTCAGTTAACGGACGCTCTGAGGTAAAGTGTTCAGACTGCAGACTAAGCAACGATTGTATTTAAAGGAGCTGTATGTAAGAAATGTATTTCAATTAATCATAAAATGGCCCTGAAATGTCACTAGACATTAAGAAATCATGTACATTTCAAATACTTATATCACTGACAACAGTAGTCCGGCCAGGATATTGTCATTTAAAAAGTGCAGTTGCAGCCCTCAACTGATGTTGATGTTGTCATGTTGTGTTTTGGTCTGATGCTCCACCCTCCACCTATCTACCAATCACGAAGTCAGTAGTGTTGCGGCATCCGGGTTGCCAGCTCTGCTCTAGTTACCACAGCTGCAGCTCGTCACGATCCTGCTGGATCCTGCAGCCGATCTGGCAACCTCGAGTCACGGAGGAGGGGGAGGGGAGACACTGCTCTACAGTAATTTGACAGTGATTGCAGTACTAGTTTTGGCCACAATCTTACATACAGCTCCTTTAATTGTACAGTACTATCATAACATAGTACAGACATGATCTTAATTCCATAATGTCCTTAAACATAACAATTTGCTGGCCATAAACTGACAGCGCGCGTCCGGTGTGTGTGCGATACCTCGAGTTGCTATAGACACGGCGCGCGCGCTTCTCGTCCGGTGAGCGACCCCCTTTAGACATAATAAAGTAGCCTAGGCTAATTCTTAGATTAACGGATTTGTTAAACACATTTATAAATAAAACGTAATCTTCGTTATCTCTAGGCCTACACTAAATGAAAGGCCTGTCTCATAGACGCCTGCCTCAAATACAAGCTGGTGCAGTTCGGCGATTTGGGAAAATAAAAGCCCGGGCTATTATTTGAAGTTTTACAGTATATCGTGATATATATCGTAATCGGGATATGAGATGACTTCTATCGTGATATGAGATTTTGGTCTTATCGCCCAGCCCTAGTATCCAGTATTCATTAGAAGTATTCAGATACATCAATTATTTTTTTATGAATTATCTTTTGAATTTATTTAACCCTTGTGTGGTGTTCAAATACCCTATAACACTTTTGATGTTCCTGGTCAAAAATGACCAGCCTATAAAAAATAGCTTATAAATCTCTTGTTATGCTATATTATCACCCAATATTGGATTCAATCTTTTTGTCAACTTGTTTTCTTTCAATTAGGACTGGTTTTATATTTCTATTTGCATTGGTTAATCATAGGCCTCATTTATCTGAGAGTAGACATAAAAGAGAGTAAAAAAAGCATTATTTTTGAATAATTTTGGAAATATTAAATAAAATATGAAAAGAATGGGCACTGTTGATCACACTAGTATACTTTATTTTTTCACCAGGAAGTTTGTTTTGAAAAACTTTTATTTTGTACAAAAATGGGCCATTGAAAGTGAATCGGAGAGACTGAAAATAAGAGAAACATTTTGTTTTCAGGAGCATGTTCATTATGTTCATGTACACATATGTGCTTGCAAACATTGAGTCCTTGGACCTGTGCATGTGTGTATACATGCATACACATGCTACCCAAACACACACACCCACACGTTAAAACACAAACTATTGAGTATTACACACATTCTTTTTCACAGAGAGAAACTTGATCCTATCCTGAACTGCATCTAATATCCATTCAACCATCTGACATTCATACACACAAACAGACACGTATGCGCGAACTGGATTTAGTCCGCCCGCACTGACCATGTTTCAAAAGAATCTTTCTTTCACGACGTTCTTTGTTTCATCAGTTTTCAGACAAAATATTATGACATTTTGTTTTGGGACTAAAATATACAAATATAGCCTAGATGTTATAGCACAGACACATAAAAATGCTTCACAGTGTCTTGCTTGTCATTCATTTTGTAGCAGCACAATGGCGAAGAAGCTCTCTGTGCATGATGTTCTTCATCAGATCATTGATCGAGACACTAGTGATGAGGAGGAGGTGATGCAGGATGAATCTCAGAAGAAAAACTACCCTGCCTCATAGGTGGGGATGAAGACCAGGACAAAGTTCCATCTTTCGACCAGAATGTAACCATAGCATCAGCTGGGCCCTCATCATCAGAAGACTGCTGCTCATCAGTTGTTTCAAGATCTGTAGCATGTGGTTCTTCTGATACATCTTCTAATGCTCCGTCACTGCAAAATCCATCCTGCATCGCCTTCTCATCACTAGTGTCTTGATCAATGATCTGATGAAGAACATCATGCACAGAGTTCATTGCCATTGTGCTACTACAAAATTAATGTGTGTGTGTGTGTTGGATGAATGGATATTAGATGCAGTTCAGGGTAGGATCAAGTTTCTCTCTGTGAAAAGGAATGTGTGTAATACTCAAAATAGTTTGTGTGTTTTAACGTGTGTGTGTGTGTGTGTGTGTGTGTGTGTAGCGTGTGTATGCATGTATCCACACATGCACAGGTCCAAGGACTCTATGTTTGCAAGCACACATGCACATATGTGCACATAAACATAATGAACATGCTCCTGAAAACAAAATGTTTCTCTTATTTTCAGTCTCTCCCATTCATGGCTTATTGGAACTCTGTGCCATTTTGTATAAAATAAAAGTTTTTCAAAACAAACTTCCTGGTGAAACATTAAAGTAGACTAGTGTGATCAACAGTGCACTTTGTTTTATATTTTGTTTAATATTACAATTTTTTTTCATAAATAATGCTTTTTTTTACTCAAAAAATTAGCACCCTACTCTCAGATAAATGAGGCCTAAGATTAATCAGATGCAAATAGAAATATAAAACCAGTCCTAATTGAAAGAACAAGTTGACAAAAAGATTGAATCCAATATTGAGTGATAATATAGTATAACAAGTGATTTATAAGCTATTTTTTGTAGGCCGGTCATTTTTGACCGGGAACACCACAAGTGTGACTATGTGCCATTTTTTACAAAATAAAAGCATTTCAAAACAAACACCCTGATTAAACATTAAAGCACATTAGTGTGATGAACAGAGCAATTTTTCTTCATATTTTATTTAATATTGTGAAAATTATTCATAAATAATGCATTTTTTTACTCAAAAAATTAGATGCCTACTCTCAGATAAATGAGGCCTACAATAAATCAGATGCAAATAGAAATATAAAACCAGTCCTAATTGAAAGAAAACAAGTTGACAAAAAGATTGAATCCAATATTGGGTGATAATATAGTATAATGAGAGATTTATAAGCTTTTTTTGTAGGTACCACAAGTGTAACAAGGTGAACCCCCCCCCCCCCCCCCTAAAAAGTAAGAAAATTATCACAAAAAAAACATTTAAGTAGTAGTTATACCCTTTGTGAACAAAGTCACTAAGTTTCAGTCCAATGCAATAACATTAACTAGTATTTTCGGGAAAAAGAAAATCTTCTCCGGGTCAAAATGACCCGAACACAACATTCGGGTTAAAAATGTTCTTTAACAACATTAAGATTTACCTGCTCTCTTTGATCATCTTCTCATTGAAGCGCAGGTGAAAATCTCTGAGCTCATCAATCAGCCCAAGCGATAACATCTGATCCACACGCTTGTCCAACCTCTCATCCAGAGCTACAGGAGAGGACGAATGAGGAAATTAAATAAAGATACTGAAGACATGTTACAGTCACAATCTACAATGACTGGTGGCTACCATTCATTTTGTAGTGCAGCCAGAAGATGCAAGGGTTCTGGAACCGCAAGGGACCACCAAGACAATCTCCTCCATCCTGCCCTCGCTGCTCCTCCAAAAGCCGACTGTGTGGAACTCCAGTGTCCATATACACCTGCAGACTCCTGTCAATCAACCAATAAATTGACCATATTATACTTAGTCAAAATACTATATGACTTCAGATAAAATAATGCATTTCTCAAACACATTTAAAATATTTCCAAATGCCAAATAATCTCTCAACTGAACATATTATTTGGAAAGAGCACGCCACATACCAAACAAGAACATGATGAATAGGGCTGGGTATCGATTCAGATGTTCAAATTCTATTCGATTTCGATTCGCAAGATCTCAATTCGATTCGATTTCGATTCTCGATTCGACTATAATAAATATAGATGTAATACAAATCCTATATTTATAAAAAAGAACAGTGGACATAAGTTTACAAGTGGTTAATTAATACAAAGAAATTAAGAGCCACAAACCTGTATATAAAACTCTTTTTATTTTAGGTACACACTATACACTAAATGCATACAATGAATAGACAGGATTTTGATGCAAGATGCAAAATTGATGCTGAAAATTGTACAAGTCAGAACAGTCGCATGCCTTTGATCAAACACGATAGGTTATTTTATGTTTAAGATAGATAGATAAATAAATATCAGTTATCATTTTTTAGAAATTTTCTTTTTTACATTGATCTCACCTAAATGTTTGTTTTTACAATGGGGTAATTTTTTGTTAAGAGTTTATGCAACACATGGAAGCTTGATTTCAATATTTGAATTAAATTGAAAAAAAGTAGTACAAATAAATACAATAGAATAAAGACACAAATAAAGAGACATAAAAAGAAAAGTTTTTGGGTAGGTCAGAAATACTACAGAAACTGAATAAAGTAATCCAATGTAAAATAACACTGGATAGTCTTTTAGTCCTGACTGAATTAAATACATAGGCCATTAATTCTGATTCCTTACAATTAATGCTATATTTTGTTGTTTTGACAACTCCTAAATGAATGACAGACACATATGGCTGCGTTCACTTTAAGAACTAGTGCACGGATCCATTACTGTTTCATTATACTGTCTGTCACGCATTTTATGCTTATTTAAGACATAACCGACTGTCTTTACGAGGTTACTCACCAAGACCAGAGTTTTGAAATAATTTTGCGTGTTTTTACCTGATAAAGCGATATAATCCACGAAAAAGAACTTTCGTTACTGGCGAGCTGTTTGTGAGGCGGATTTAGGCTTTACTGTATGTGCACGCAGTGAAAACATCTCTGAGAGCGCGCGAGCACTGAATAGTTTAAAAATGCTTGAATGTTTAAACTGGTAAAACTTAAAAAGACGTGAAAATGATAAACGTTAGTTACGATGCAATGCTGGCCGATTGTGCAAGTGAATATTCCGCCATGTCCCGACTCCTAAACACGAGTGTGTATCGACGCCTGCAGCGCTTGACGCTTGCCTTGTGTAGAGAGACACAAGACACAGCACAGTGAGCCCTGAATATGGGAAAAATCGATTCGTGGCCATTGAGAATCGATTTTGAATTGACCACCTTTTTAAAAACGATTAATCGAAAAATCGAATTTTTCCCCCAGCCCTAATGATGAACAACAAAATAAAATAAAAAAAGACGACGAATAATGAAGTTTAGGTTTGGTCACGCTAAAGAGAAGGTTCTTGGGACTTCAAGCAAGTCATTTCCTTAGAAGCAGCTGATATCAGTAAGGAGACATTAGCACTCTTAACTGTGCGAGAGAATCTCTTCTACCGCAGCAATACTGTAGACGCAGTGGCACACAGGCTGGCATCAAATTAAACAAGCACATAGTCCTGAGAAGAGGTGCTAATCGGCCCCTTGACACCAATCAAACACCAATTGAAGCATGTGAAAACGTGTGCAACACGCTTGGAAGCCACAGCCATCAGTTCTCCCACACAGGTGGAAAAATAGATGTAGCCCACCAAATGCCAAATTTTACCACAAGATTGTATGCTAAGGTTTCTACCCAAGTTCACTTTAACTCTGCACCTTTTAAAAGAAATGTATGAGGGGAAAAAACAACAACAAGGCTAAGAAAAGACTGACATAATTGAAAGAGGAATAAATGAGAAAGGTGCAGTAAAAGTGACGTGGACAAAGATCTGGGATGGTATCTGAGAAGGATGTAGTTTCAAACACCAGGAACTTAACTAGTACCCATTTCTGTGTTGGTGTTGAAATTGAAACTAAATTAAGAAAATAGGTTTATTTGCACACAAAGTGCTGGAGTCAAGACTAGATGTTTCATGACCCAGACCCCCTAATACAAAGACCCTTCAGATCCAAACCAAAACTTATTCCATTTTGGAAATTGAAAATACACTAAGCTTTTCTGCGAATGGGTGCAGGGAAATGAAGTGGTCTCTGTTTTGTGCGATCACTGAAATAATTACCTTGCAATCTTGCGTGCGTCATGAGGGTGCAATATGGCAGCCATGTCAGGATCCACCTCCTTCAAACGTCTGTGAAGTTCAGGACCACCCAGTTTCTCAAGCTCCGCCTTTGATTCAGGAGTCCCACCATTTTCGGATTCTGTGTCACTCCCCTGCTGTAGGTCAGACAGAGGAGGACTCGTTTAGATCATCTCTGCCAATAGATACACAGAAAGCCTTTTGAAGGATTAGTTCACTTTTAAAAAAACTTTTGCTGATAATTTACTCACCCCCATGTCATCCAAGATGTCCATGTCTTTCTTTAGTCAGTCGAAAAGAAATTGAGGTTTTTGATGAAAACATTCCAGGATTTTTCTCCATATAATGCACTTTGCTGGGCACCAAACGGTTCAAGGTCCAAAAGACAGTTTCAGTGCAAACTGCAAACTGTTCAAATGGCTTTAAACGACACCAGACGATGAATAATGGTCTTATCAAGCGAAACGATCGCTCATTTAAAAAATAAATAACAAAGTTTTTAAGTTTAATAATGTCAAATGCTCGCCTTGCTCTGTTCTGTGATGCACGTTCGTGACTCTCCTGTTCGAACTCGTTCATCAAAATGAACAAATCTTTTTTCGAGTCATTTGGTTCATTTAACGAACGAAATGAACGAATTGACTTGGAAAAAGATTCGTTCATTTTGATGAACGAGTTCGAACAGGAGAGTCACACAGAACAGAGCAAGGCGAGCATTTGAGCTTATAAAACTTAAACTTTGTTATTTCTTTTTTTAAATGAGCGATCGTTTCACTTGATAAGACCCTTATTCATCGTCTGGTGTCGTTTAAAGCCATTTGAACAGTTTGCAGTTTGCACTGAAACTGTCTTTTGGACCTTGAACCGTTTGGTGCCCAGCAAAGTGCATTATATGGAGAAAAATCCTGGAATGTTTTCATCAAAAACCTTAATTTCTTTTCGACTGAAGAAAGAAAGACATGGACATCTTGGATGACATGGGGGTGAGTAAAGTATCAGCAAAAGTTTTTTTAAAAGTGAACTAATCCTTTAATATTACTATGACTTACTAGCTCTGTTTCAAATGTAGTCAGCTGCCTCATTGCATACTGCCTTTTAACACAGTGTCTAGGACACTAGCGGAGTGACACGATGAGACGAAAGGCAATCAAACTCATAATCAGTCATTCTGTCTACAATAGATGCGCACGACGTGATGTGGCAACAATTCCCTGACTTGATTTTTGATTGATTTAAATGGACCCTTTTCACATTTCCAGTGTTCTCAGAAGCCATCACAGTTGGGTAAACTTACACAGTCAACTCCTTAAGTAAACTTCTACTGCTCCAATAGCAAGAGAAAATCCACAATTGTATGACTTTCCCAAACAGGAAAAAAATATCAAAAGATTGATCATGCTGGTCAGAAGAGAGAAAGATTTGCCATCACTTCCTCAGCCGTTGTATTAGAAACACTCAGTTTTCTGAAATTTAAAGCCAAGGTAATATTACACAAAGTATAGTGTTATAAATGCACATTAAAAACTTCATTATGACGTTAATAATTGTGGAAATTAATCACAGACTGTGAAAAGGGTCCATAATTTGATGTTAGCATGTTGCTAACAGTATGATCCTTCAATAAACAGCACTCTAAAATAATCAATTTTTATTATGCTTTACTTTTTAATCAATACTATAATGCATTCTGATTTTATTCTCTCTTCGCAAAACAAGGTATCTTTGACAGCAGCATAATTTAGATATCATCCAATCAACAACTGGTGCATAGAACCAAGTCCCCCACATTTTTTCTATTTCGATAATCTGTTTCATTAGAATGTACGTCACAATACTGAAGGAAAGAGCTGTTTCTACTTTTGTTACATTGCGACTTTAAAATGCTGCCCACGTAAGCAGATGACTAGGTTTTGGAACAGAGCTATTCTTTATTATCAGAAAGCATTAAAACTCACATTTACCCCAGTGTCGATGAGCAGATTCCATAAAATGGATTCAATGTAGTAGTTTGTGCCTCCAACAATGATGGGCAGCTTTTTCCGATCATGCATGTCTTCTATGTATCACATTAAGGAAGTCAAACTTAATTTTTCAAATAAACATCCTTTGATGCCACAGTTGCAAGCAATACATAAATTATGCACAATGATCATACATGTGCAACCACATCGGGTTAGAGTGCAGAGTACACCACTGCTATAGTGCTGAAACGCAATATCATATTCTGAAACGCAATATCATATTCTCAGATCTATAGATGCTCTAACAATAATTCATGTAATGTCCAGGTCTGGTGCTGTGAGAGGGCAGTCAGTTCAACATGACTGCTGGGATTCTGCTGAAGATTTTAATAAATGGCGTCAGAAGCTCCATGGAGCAACTCATTAACTGCTTCAATACGAGAAGGCGCATCAGCACTCTCCCTCACACGAAATGGACAAACACGCACACAGACACACTTCCAGGTCACATGCATTAAAATCAAAGCAGTCTGGCCGAACGCTGTCCACCCCATCTGCATCACTCTGTGATCCCTGGGGAGGGAGGGAGAGAAGAGAAGGACACAAGGAAAGGGGTGGGGACGAGATTGCGAGACAGAGAAAGAATAGTCAAGCATCTCTGGATGGTTATAACAGAAGATTATGACAAAAACAACTCCTAATTGAGGCTGCACGATATTGGAAAAAACTGATATTGTGATATTCTGTTTTTCTGTAATAGTGATATTAAAAAAGATTTTTCACCAAATAACTTGAATAGCTGTATTTTGGAAAGAATAAGCCATTCAAGAGTGAGCGGGGTGATTTTATTGCGGAGTATATCTGCATAGAAAATAAAAAATATATAATTTTTTTATATATATATATAAATGAAGATTTTCCCCAATGAAACATTTTTAATGGCAAAATCTTTTTTAGGGCTGAATTATTTCAGCATGAAGCTCATCCCTGTGTGTCCATTTACATGCATACAGCTCATGATATCAGGTGTGTAAATGCTTCGCTGAGACCAGTAGCGCATATGTTTAATTAAATCGCAGCCTCAGCAATTTGACAAACCAGACTATGCCATTTTGTATTTCGTAATATCGTGCAGAAATAATCCTAATTGTGATGATTACTTTTTTGATTTGATCCGCAGCCCTATTTTAGCGTGTTGTATAGTGTATTGTACAATATGTAATAAACAATCTCGGTTACTTTGATTTCCTATTATCACTGTAAAGCCGCTTTGGAACAATCCTTTGTTAAAAGCGCTATATAAATGAAGATGACTTGACTATAGTAGTTATCACTGCTCTTCAGCAAGGCGAGACTGAGAAGCTCTTCACCTGCCACTCCTCATTTCTTGTGCATGAGCGTCTGAGGTGTCTGCGACAGCGTTCCTCCAGACACTGCGAGAGCCGCCCCACCTCCTCACAGCATCTCCCTCAGCTATTAATATCCTCCTCATCTCTCAGCAAACATCTGCAGGAGGAGGGCGGGGAAAACGAGGACAGCGATGCGTCTCCCTCCGTCTCTGGTACACGCATTTCCAGTTATGCCCTTGCATTTACTAAAAGACCATGCCGAGGGAGTACAACCCAGCACCCACTCATAAAATGCCAGAGCCATTTGTGTGGGACGCTGGGAAATGCCACATTCCACAAAAGATGTGAAATTAAAATATGGGGATTTGCATTCAAACAAGGAGCAGTCTTACAAAAGCTGTGTCACTGATGTCAGGGAGGCGATGACATTTTAAAAGAACAATTACTCAGAATGATCATTAAGAAGTTTGCAGATGATATCTTAAAAGGCCGAGTAATGGCCCATTAATTTCATCTGCAGAGACAAAATAAGCATTTATATTTAGAAAGGCCTGCCAACTATACTTGTCAACCAAATGAATCTCTGACTGCAACCATTAATTATAGGGTGTATGGATAGGGCAAAATGGCCAACTAGTCACCCAATCAGGGTTACAGACTGTGTAGAAATTGGCTCCACAAATTACAGGATAATTAAAAAATGACTCGCCGTTCAGTAAGGAAGTTAATTGTTACACATTTACCACTCTGAATGCTTCACTGTGTATGATTTAAATCACAGAAGACCCGTTCACACCAAGACAAATTTCTATACTGATATATGGAGTCCACACCAACATGCACAAGGTCTTTAATATCGGGTGAACTCTGATTGGCTGTCAATGTTTTAGTCGTTCCTCAGCTGGAGGGAAAAAAAAAAACATTCTGAAAGTGGTTCCAAGAATGTTACTCCGCTGTATCAATCATTGTAGCTGTGTAGTGAACTTCACTATTCTCATAGAACTAGACCAATTGTTAAAACTTTATAGTTATAGTTATCCTTGGTGTGAACAGGCCTTACTTCACAAGCGAGTAAGAGAGCGCTTTGTGAATCTAATGATGGGTTTATCTTTAAAAACAGTTCATAAGAGTCGCATGGGCATTTACAAAGGCCTTAAATAATTTCATTCAATCTGGAGGAGTCTGGAATTTTATTATGAAGGGTTGGGCATATCAGAAAGGATATGAGAGACAAGGCCTTGTTCCTGAAGTCCACCACTGTGTATCCACTAACCAATGGATCCACAAAGCTGATCATGTGATGGCGACACTGGGCTTGCTCCTCATCTGTAACCTTATTGGTGATGATGTCCAGTCCTTTGTAAACCTGCAGTGAGAAACCAACCAGATCAATGAAGCATCAAGAAGGTTAATCCAGGTCATATACCGTAATTCCTCAAATAAAGACCGGGGCCTTTATTTACCTGAACTGCAGATGATAGCCGGCTTTTATTAGAAGCAGGCTTTTATTAGAGGCAGGCCTTTATTTCTAATTCGCGATCCCCGCCCGCCCGCCCGCCAGCCAAGTTTCCATGGTGACGCGTCATGCTTGGCACGTGTTCACCACAGCCAAAATAGCGCTGCATGACAGATGTAGCGCTTTTATTTCTAAATATTAACAAACTTGCTTACCATGTCATCAACTATCTTCTATTCTGACTCTCAAATCCGTGTAAGTGAGTTTGTTTTGTCGTTTAAAACCCTTTATAAATTATCTTGATCTGTAACGTGAGATGGGCACCGCAGTTCAGAGATTCCTGTCTGTTGGATTTGTTACGTTACAGCGCGTGAATTCTTCAGTTTCTCCCGAAATACATGAAAGTAAGTGGCCGGTGAACTGGGAGAAGAATAGAGTAAACTTTATAGTTACTTACACTGTGTATCTGATATGAATAAAACACGTCGCCAAATATATTTGAATGGATTGTTATTGCTGCTTCCATAGACACCATTGTGTATTTTACAAACTACAAATGTATTGTTTTGCTATAAATCATATCTATTTAAATGTCTGAAAGCTAAAATAAACATGTGGTTAAAAACACTGAATAGTTGTGATATGACAACCGCTGAGCGAGTCCGTCTTTGAGTGTACACTAATTTTTCCCCGGCCTTAATTTGAGACAGGCCTTTATTTGTCCGCGTTGACCACGCCCCCGGCCACTATCAGAGGCCCGGCGTTTATTTGAATACCGGTCTTTATTTGAGGAATTACGGTAAGATAGAAATCTTGAAGAAGAGTAGCAAATGTCACATCCTTCATAGACCACATTACTGTTTTCGCTTGGTTTATCATGACTTATACCATGGTCTGGGTGAATACTCGATTCTGATTGGCTGCAGGGTGTCCGTTAAAAAGTGATAGAGGACACCTAGTAAAGTAGTTCTGGTGAAACTGACTGTTTACCATTCGAAATTAATAAATAAATGCGCTGCCTACAACAGCTGTGAGTAACCATAGCAACAGGCAGTCAAAGTATCCGTTAACAATTTGCTCTATTAAAACAAACATCTAACGTTAGTTAGAGCCTATTACATAGCCTACTAATACAACAATGAGCGACTTCCTTATTTCTTTTAACATTTATGGAGAATATGACAACTTTGACGACTGGGATGCTGCTGAAGAAAGAAAAAATGTAAATAAAACGGAGATTGACCTGATTCATTTATTGCCCTCTATAAGCGCAAATCGCTGGAGCGCAGAACTAATTGTTTTTTTTGTTTGATTGTTGTTTGATTAATTGTTTTATGCGTAATAAAAAAATAACTATGCCTACCTTTGTGTTTCATGAAAAAAAAAAATGCATTTTTGAACCTGAAGGGTTCTACAAGCTGAGCGGCGGACTATAAATATCTCCGGTTGCTAAATAAACCGTCAGGCAAGTTATTATTTGTAAAAACTAGATTTAGCCTAATTAAAATATAAACAAATGTTTTAAAAATGTTTTATTTGGCAAGTGACCATGGTATAAGCGGGTTAATGCCCTCCGAGGTGTCCATTGTCAGGTTTTAATGGACTTCGGCGGAGGCAACTGTCCTCCGCTGCGCGTCGGCCGGTTCACACCTCGCCGTCGTCCATTAAAACCTGACAATGGACACCTCGTCGGGCATTAACCCTTACATGATCACTACATGAATCCTTAAACAGGCCCATTTCAAAAACTGGGTCCAGTGTGGCAGAGGTAAAACAGGTCACGGGCACTTCCTTACTCTGTCCTACATATCTAGTCATGATTCTTCACGACAAAAGGGACTGTAGATGTGTTTTTTTTAAACATGTGAAGTGATGATTTAACAATTTTGGTTCTCGACCCAGTGCCTTAATGATTTAGTACTTTGGTTTAGTACTTTAGATTTGTTTCTGTTTATTTGACTATCATGCAGACTTGGCAAGACATGTGCACAGGGCCGTCCTTAGGACAGTGCAATCGGTGCCCCACGGTGCCTTGAGGGGGGACCCATGGCGAACAGACCGAGGGAGAACCTCCCCGCACGTGATCGTGAATAGTCCGAGAATGGGGCATTTACGCTACCTCACACTGGGCCCGTCCCATTCGGGTCTGTTTGCGTGCAACCCCATAGAGGGATGTTTGTCTATTTATTGTCTTTGACGAAACTCATTGTAAACACTGAGTTCCAGACAGTATCCGAATAAATAAGAACCAGTTCTCGATTCCCTACCCTAGTTATGTGGCATCAGTCCACAAGTGGTCACCATAAAGTGTTGCTGTGTGGTCACTCAAGAAACGTCAGGAGCCACAGCAGGATTTCAACATCAAGGCATGCATGCACAGCCATGGCTAAATTCAGTCCAGCTTACCATAACTCCTCTGCCCTTGCGTGCCCATTTCGGCAAGTTAGAAAGAAATGCTACTGAATTATTAAGATCGTTTCCCCTGTGTTCTCCACAGGACATCCCTGCCAGCGAAATCTTGGTGAGGTGAAGGGGGACAACAGCAAATATGGAGAGACATTATTTCAGCCCATTCTCTCCAGAGGAGGAATGGTAAACTAATAAAGGAGTGTGATTAAAACTTGCAGAAGGCCTTAATCGCCGCAGAACTTGGCATGGTACTTCCATTCTGTTTTTTACTGTGCAAGTAAAAACGCCTGCTTTTCAGAACCAGCCCTCTTGAACACAATATTTCGACTTTACAGGCCACTAACTTGAAGAAAGCTTGGAATCAATAACAGCTGCTTTTTTTTTTACCTTGAAATAAAACCAAATCACTGAGTTGGGTCAATAAGCTTGTTAAGATAGACTAACAAAGCAGGGAGTTTACCAACAGCGACAAACTTTCATAAATGTAGATTTTGAGTACAGAACACAACACTGGTCACTTTAACACTATTGCCAAAAACAATTAGTTAAAACTCAAGTTCATCAAGTCAAGTTAAGTTGCTAAATACATGTTGATATGTAAACGTTCATAAGCGGCCATTTGTTAACGTGCCTTGTTAGTTTCCATAAATGGCCTGGATGGACAGTCACATGCTCCGTTCCGAAACGATGGCAGCATTTTAGGACCACTAGAAACACTACAGCACTGACAAAGAATATTGAGACTGTAGATCCTTATCTCCATGTACTCAACTGATAGTTGCATTAAGAGGGATCAATACATGAGCACGCATGAACTAAGATACCCGCATGCTGGGAGCTCCACAGCTCACTAGCGAGGGCATATCAGGTCACGTGACATGGACTAACAAATGTTCTACAATGGTGTAACCAGCACCTGATGCGCTTAAAATGTGCTACTATTATTACATTGCACAAATAACAACAAATCTCAATATTTCTGGCAAATATTCAATAAAAATTGGCACAACCTTGATTTGCAGCAAAATATTTATAAAATGAATTTTATATCCAACATGTGGCATCAGGGTTAGATCTCAAGACAAAACATTGAGTTTGACCGCAAAAATTTCATAACCAACAACAAAAAAAGAAATCTTGAAACTACTATATATATATATATATATATATATATATATATATATATATATATATATATATATATATAAAACAATGTATATTTTTGTCCGTTATTCCGAGAGGTTGTTAAGAGCCCATGAGCTGCCCTCCAGGATAAGAGTAAAATGACATAAGACACATAAAAGATTGTGGGGGGAGTAGGGTAAGTGTACCCATTAAGCCCATGTACCCTTTAAGCCCACTTTCAACTTTAAAGTCAAATAAAAAAAAAAGAGTAAATCATATTTTATGCTGCTCATTATTTAAATCAATCCAGTGATTTGTTACTTCCCTGGCATTTTTTATTGTATACCAATCACATTTGGCAATGTTGAGTTAGCCCCACCCATGTGCAAGCTGTCTCAGGGCACCTCACACAAAGTCACCCCAAAACTTTGGTGTTTCGGGACCCTTCAGAAATCAACACATTTCTGGAATTTTCAGCCATTTATTTGGTAACTACATTGATATTATGTCAAATAAGAGATAAATGTGTTGTTTTTTGTGTATGAACAAATAGTACTTTATCATTTTATATAATTTTCCTTTAAAAGGAAAGATGAGTTTTATTAGCTTGCGTTCAAAGTTAATCTCTAGGTCAAACCATTAGCCTTACAGAAAGATAGACTGCCAAAGAATTAAGCATGTGAACTGCAAACAATAAATGTTTTGGGATTCATTTTACATTAATTTACAAATAAATACATTATAAATTGTTTTGTAGAGAAGATTATTTTCATAAATTAACTTTTTTTTATATGGGCTTAAATGGTACAATGCCACAAAACCCATGGAAACTATAGCCAACACAAGCTAACCTTGAATGAAAAAAACTTAACATTTCTCAATGTGGGCACAATGAAAATTACTATGATACTTAGTCCACAGTATATTTAAGCTCCATGTATGTATTTGTAAACATATCTTACATTTTTAAAGGAAAACATTGTCTTTTTTCACCATTACTCACTGTGGAACCATTTAAGCCCACCTTATGTGTTTCAATGAGGAAGCCGAGTTAAGGCTTGAGATTCCGGGCATGGAGAGATCCCAGAGGGACCCTACATTCCCCACAGTCCTGAACCCCTGGGACTGTCCAGCTCCTAGATACCCCCACTTCCAGTCCAGCTTTGACCGGGCAAAACTCGGGACCCAAGCCAAGTTGGGGCTCCGGACTCCAGGCATGGAGGGGTCACCCAGTGGGCTCCCTATGCCGGGCGTATTGAGCCCTAACTCGGCTTTCTTCCCGAGATATGGTCACTTCCTGTGGAATTTTGATTTGATCGGGCATAACTCCACAGTCAAGCCGACCTAAGGCTCCAGACTCCCGGTGTGGGGGCCCC